AAAAAGTCATCATTCTTCGGATATTCGAGAATTTCACAAAAAGCGAAGTTTATGTTAGCTCTAACAGATCGCTTCCCTCTCTGTGTGGGCACTAAAAAGGTGTTTTAATCATATCCGTCATGTTTTCAGCTAAAGCCACGATACGGACTGTGAAGGATACATTCCGATATATCTTGGATAGATATCTTTTCTATAATTCCTGGTGATGTTTGCACAGAATAGATTTTTACTCTCCCAGAGCATTAGGCTGAGGCATTTACAGACATCGGCTATAATATAACGAATCGAGTTTATTTTTGATTTACAATATTATTCGAAAATTATGCTGAATTACATAATTCAATTAGTAATAATTCTAATAGCGAAAGTTTATTTTTCTAACGAAGAATGTATTTGAAGAGGTTTGACAGTTTTCAATTTGATATTTACAATTAGAGCAAAAACAGAAAGTAAGAGTTACTTGTATATCTGTTAGTTTTTATAAGATTCCTTAGTCCAATTGAGTATTAATATATAATAACTGTAATACATCTAGTATGAGTTAAAATTTAATAATTGCTAAATCTGTTCAAGAAAGAATGAGACGATTTTCTTATAAGTCAAATACAAATGACATCAACGGGAAAATAATATATTTCGGAACAGTGTCATTTTACATATATCAATCAAATTTCAAAGCAGAGAGAGTGGTGTTAAAAGCGTAGGACAAAAAAGTCTGAGACAATCCGCCTTCAGAAAACGGCCCAAGAAACCTACGCAATGCTGCAACAAGCACATAATGATAGTGCATGGTTTAAAGAGTTTCGAGAAGACAGAGGGACAAGTGTCTAAAAAAGGCGAAACGGGAGATTTGCAGTTACAGAAACAAACATCAATACAGCTGCCATCATCTTCCGTAAAGAACAACAAATTACAGTAAGATAATTCACTAAAGACTTGGAAAAATCACATGCGCATGTCACGTGTCGGTGCTCGATGGGAGCAACGTTCATTGACACCTGAGAATAAGGCCGTGCGAGTTAAAACGTGCACACTCGTGTGTCAGTTCACCGATGGTGGAAAACTTTTTACAGTAAATCGTCACTAGTGAGAATTCGTGGCTACAGCACAAATAGTTTTTTCAGTTCAGTTAATTTTTATTAACGTACAATTAGCGTACATTTCCGGTTCCGCGTTGTATAGCCTAGAGTAAATTAGTGTGAGAGCGGCCGGGAATACAGGGTTTGGATTGCACTCTTGTATCACTTAATCGGCTAGATTTGCCTCAAAGTCAAAGAATGGCGATAATCGTGTTTCCTAAAAAGGTGGAGACGTACGATGATATAATCCGGTTTCCTGTCAGGATTCCGGACATCAGCTAAAGTAATTAGAATACACGCCCTAAATCGCGTAAGCAGAATCAAGACGTGACGTCCGAATGACGACGTTTCCATAAATCATAGGAGGGACAATCGAGAGTAATCGACAAATTTATTTCCCGCACAAAAACAAAATTTATTTAATAAAACTATTTATTTATTTATTTTATTTATTTATTTAGTACAAGGGAAAGCCCTGTATGTACGGGCTCTTACAACTGAAATTACAACTGTAGTAAATAACACTACAAAAAAAAAACAAATTAATACAACAATATAACGCGTGACAATTAGACTGAAAAGAAAAACTACAGAACAGCACCAGGTTAATATCATCCGAAACAATAATAGCATTTATATTCTTATAAATAAAATACATAAATAAGACAAATGAAAAAATGGCAGCAAATGGTCGGCATAAACAAAATATAATAAATAAAAGAAAAGAAAAAAGCAAGCCATTACCTGCAAAAGAGTAAACAATTATTTAAAATACGCCCAAAAGCGCCGACCATAAATGCTGCCAACTCTCAAACACTAAATCGTTCACTTAAATAGTTAATTTACACCTCCTGGTGGTAAGCATCTGAAAAGGAAAAGTTTCTTAATCTTAACAAATAAATAGTCAATCATTTAACTTAGTTACAAAACTATAAATACAATAATAATTATCCCAGTCCTGCAGCAACCGTTTATATGCTTGAACCGAAAAACAATCTTCACCATAACACTTTTGTCTGAGTGCAGTCAACGCCTTACATTCCGTTATTACATGAAAAGCGTCAAAATTAACAGTAGTATTACAAAATTCACAGTAGTCCATACATGGACTTAACATTCTTCTAATCATATTACATCTCACATATAATACTGCTTGTGTAATACAAAAAGGTCTTTCTAAATTCAGATAGGTCATCGACCCCCATTCATTAAAAACATCCATATACCATTTATTATATTTGTAATTAATCGCCTTGTTTTTAAACTCAGTTACATAATTATTCGCCAAACTCATTAAAAAATCTGAAGTCTCAATTTCATTTAACATTATCGGATCCTTTCGATAACCAGATTTCTGCAACAGAGACACAATTCGATCTCCCCACGATACTCTTTGGGAAATTAAAAATATTTTAGCAGACTCTGTAAGTTTACTAGCAGACTGCTTACGTAACCATTTTAAATTATTTTTTATTATATTAAAATAAAGGGGGACTCTTTGAAACTCCAAATATATAATATACGATGGAATCCATCTCTTTAGAGAATATAAACGCTTAATAAAATTAATTTGTATATTATCATCTTTATCTCTCCAATCAAAGCCCCAAATTTCGGATCCATATAACACTACTGATTGAATAAATGACTCAAATAATTTTAATTTATCTTTCCAACGTACCAATCTACCAGATACACAAGCTTTCATAATCTTATCAATTCCAAAGGTCACTTTACTGTGAATATACTTTAAATGTTTTAAAAAACGCCCATTAGACTGGAAAACTACACCCAGATACTTGTACTCATCAACAACGTCTATTTTGCGATTTTGTAAAAACCAATTCTCATTCTTAGAATGTTTTCCTCCATTTCGGAATACCATTATTTTAGATTTGTCAATGTTAACAGACAGTTTTAACTCCTGTAGTGTGTGTCCTAAAAAGTCAATCATTCTTTGTAGACCTATAGGCGAATCTGCCATAACAACCAAATCATCTGTATATGTCAAAATTTTCACTTCCGTTCCTAAAAGGTCAATGCCCACCAAATTAGAGTCATTCAATTTACTTACAAGTGGATACAAATATAAATTGAACAATATTGGGCTCAATACACAACCCTGTTTCACACCTTTTAACGTGAAAAATAGATCAGTCGTACCCTCCTTAGTAGACACGCACGCCTCTGTATTAGTATACAACTGAATCAAAAAGTTTACAAACTTATAGCTCAACCCAATTTTCAGAAGTTGACTCCATAAAAGATCTCTATCCAACGAATCATATGCCGCCGTCAAATCAACGAAGAAAGCGTAAAATTTACCTCGTTTCTTCCTTAAAGACTTCTGTATTAAAGCATGTAAAACAAAAATATTATGCAATGTCGAAAAACCAGCCCGGAACCCAGCCTGGAAATCAGAAAACATCTCAAACTTATTCAGCCAAGATATCAAACGCATACATAAAATTTTACAGAAAACTTTAGATATTGTCGGTAGTAACGAAATTGCTCTATAATTATCAGGTAAATCTCTAAGACCCTTTTTAAATATAGGAATAATCTTACATATGCGCCAGTCTAAAGGAATCATCCCTGATTGATAAACATTGTTAAACAGACCTACCATATATCCAATCAGATCTGGGAAATTCTTATATAGTTCCACCGGTATCCCATCAATACCTGGAGCAGTACCATTTTTCATAGAAGCTAGAATCTTTTTGACTTCCTGTTCTGTTATCTCCGTATCCAACAGCTCGTCCTGCCAATTCATACACCAATTATATATAGACATATCAGGTAAATATTTACTAGAATGAAATTTCTTTGAAAAAAAAGCTACCCAATCAAGATCTGGAAGCTCCCTGTATTTACTCTTAACAAAGAAATTAATAAATCGCCAGAACTGCTTACTATCACCAGACGCCAAATTCTTATTGATCTTCTGCAAAAAAAGCTTTTTCTTAGCTCTACATAAATTGCAAGTCACATTACGTTCTTTAACAAAATTTTTAACTGCAACACTATTTCCACACTTTGACCGTCTCATCCTATTCAACGCCTGATTTCTTCTTGCAATACTCAACTTACAATCCATATCAAACCACACAAAATTGGAAAATCCAATTGGCCTTTGACACCAATCTGAAAACGAAGATTTAATTAAATGAGTTAAACCTTCCAACGTTAATACTGACTGACTCTGAATCGCACCTAATAGTTCCCTATACTTATAATTTATCTTCTCACTACCTTCTTCCCTCCAAAAAATTCTCTCACTCTTACTCTTATACTTCTTAAATGATTTTCGAATTTCCTTCTTAGATTTACAATCTAAGACTACACTTATCGGAAAATGATTACTATACACTTTATCTAATACAGAAAAACTTGTTACAATAGATAATCTATTTAACTTAACCAAAGCCAAATCAATTACAGAGGAGCCTATATCACTCACATATGTATAATAACCTTTAGATATAGATGAACCTCTACCATTTAAAACAATATATCCCGCCTCTTCACAAAAATCTAACACCAATTTTCCACGATTATTTAATACTGTATCTTTTGATGACCTCAACATCCAATCCTGATCAATATTCTCATTACTTTCATAAATCCATTCCTGCAGTTCTACTCCAATGCGAGCATTAAAATCACCAATTAAAAAGTCTATCTTATAACAATTAACCAACCTAGCTACCTCTGTCCAAATAGAATTCCATAATGCAGGTCTTATATACATAAAACAGAAAGAAATTACTATAGGCCCTATAGACAATTCCACAACAATCCAATGCCTATCTTTTTCCAAGATATTTACTTTCCAAGAGTTAGACAATAACAACAACCAGCCACCAATACAGCGCCCTCTATCAGCCTCTCGATAACCTGCCTCCGAAAAAACAGAAAATTTATCCATATTTTGCAAATTGGGAATAGCAGACCTGCCATCCCACCACGTTTCCATTAAAAAAATTATATCAAAAGTATACAAAAAATTCCAAAAAGAGATAGGCTTATTTACAATACCTTCACAATTCCATGAAAGTACCGACGTACCTATTCCCAGTCAAGTTGACATTTGTTCTTCCATTTTCTTAGAAACTATATTATATTTATAAATTTTATTATCAACTTTAACCGCATTTCTATTATTTAAATAAGTAATTGAAGCACCCAATCTCTTTTTTTCTCTTGCGAAATCATTCATTATTTTCCTTATGTCTCTAGTTAAAGGAGGAAGGTCATCCATTATAAATATCCTCGTTCCTTTTAATTTAAATGCCGCTCTTTTAATCTTACATTTATCACCATAGTCAAAAAAACTACAGTAAATCAACCTAATACTATCTTTCCGTTGTTGACCCAATCTATAGCACCGCTCTAAACGAACATTATCAACACTTAATTTATTTTGAAAAAATTCCAATACTACATCTTTAACTTGTAAGTTATTATCTTCCGACTCAGGCAAACCAAAAATTATTAAGTTATTACGCCTTAAAAAACACTCAAACCGCTCCTGACTTAATGTAAACTCGGCCAATTTGTTTTCCAAATCTATTCTATCGTCCGATAGAATCTTACCGGTATCGTATGTAAATTTTTTCTCTAAATCTTCTAATCTAGTTTCTATATTAACAATAGCTTCGTCCAAATTTTCTACCCAGGAGTAGATTCTATCAATCCTAGCAATCATTCCTTCCAATTTCTTATTCTGCTTTAAATTTAGCTGAATAAGTAACGATATCCCATCCTTAATATCAAATTCTCCTTGAAGTAACTCCAAGATACTCGTCTCCTCCAATGGGTCAGAATGAAAAATCTTAGATCTACTATCCGACTGACTTACAGGTGAATAAGTCTTCCTTTTAGACATGACGAAACAAACCAGTGAGCTTACCTGCAAAAGAGTAAACAATTATTTAAAAAAAAACGCCCAAAAGCGCCTACCATAAATGCTGCCAACTCTCAAACGCTAAATCGTTCACTTAAATAGTTAATTTACACTTCCTGGTGGTAAGCATCTGCAAAAGAGTAAACAATTATTTAAAAAAAACGCCCAAAAGCGCCGACCATAAATGCTGCCACAAATAAAACTATATAAAAATGGTTACAGACTATAATATAACAATATTCAAGGAAAATGACTATAAAAGTCTTCAATTCTAGATTGACCTTAANTTTCTTGATCCTCTTCTCAAATCTTCGTTTCCAACAAATATGCTTGACTATATAATATATGCAGATAAGTAGAATTAATATTCCTATACTTCCAAGGATAATCCATATGTATGTGATTGGAATTGTTGGAGTGTTTGATATAAAAAGATCTTCATTTTCTTTCAATAATCTGTCCAAATCTTTCTTCATTTGCTCGTATGATTTTTCTGCTACCTTAATATCATCATCGGTTTGCTTCTTAGGATTCTCCTTATTCCTCTCAGGATTCTCTGTAGTATTTGAATTTTCTTGCAATTCCTCTAATTCCATCTTGGAAAATATTGTTTCAATTGGAGGTATAATAAATTTAGGACTGCTTCTTGTGTGAACAGTTGCTCTCATGTGAAAATGTGAAGTGAAAATAATTCCAGGTAAGTATCCTATACATGTATTTGGCAATCTTATGATTCCAACATTATTCAATTTACTTATATTAGAAGGTGATGAATGCAAATTANTGACTATAAAAGTCTTCAATTCTAGATTGACCTTAATCTTAAGGTATTCTACCTTCTGGATACAAGAGACAGAGTTTACAAAAGTACTATTATAATACCTCCATATTATTCTTGACTTGTAACCTTCCTGTCTTTTGGGCCGAAGTTCAATCGATAAAGTATGGCACTAACATGTAAGTTAGACTATAGAATATTGAATGACGTGTTGTGCACGGATTTTAGCAGTATCCTCTATTTATACTATTTTTCTCCTCCAATAGAGATTAAGGATTAAGATCATCTGACAATAATCTAATTCTTACTAAAACTGTAGTCCATCGAATGACTAACAACTTTTGAAGGAAGTAAACTTGTGAGAAAGGAAGTAAACTTCCTTTATTATCTCTTTTTCCTTTTAATTGCTGTGGCTAAAATTCCTTTGAATTTGTAAAATGTAATATGATTTCTTTTTACAATTAGTATAATAATAAAATCCCTTTAAAATCTCACACTAGTATAGGTAATAGTAATAGGTACAAAATTATTCATTTACGAAGATAGGACAAATTGAAATGAAATGAGAGTGAACAATAAATAGTTAACATATTTACAAAGTACAGTTACAGGCAGTAGCTCGCTTTCTTACAGTAAAGTAGGTTTACCAAGTGGTGGTTGACAACGTGATGTGGTGAAAGGTATAAAATACAGTACAATTTTACGAAATATTGGACTCTATGGCCCAATTTACACAACAGGTAAGTTTAGGTGGCAGAGGATTATTGTCAGGAACTGCAGATAGCGCTTGATATTGAAACATGTAACATTGTTTTGTCTTGCAGTGGTTGACACAAGTCTCAGTTACTGGTGGCAAGAGGGACGATAACATCGTGCTTTTTAACGAAGTTATAAAACACTGTTTACATGTCTTTGTTTCTTAACCACTTGACGTACGAATGTTTTTTAGGACTTTTTAATTAAACATAAAAAATACTTAAAACTGATACAAAATCGAAAGAAATGCGTTAATTTTGAAGAAAAAGCTTCATAGTTTAACTTCTTTTGTCACGCCTTTCTGTAAAATTTGACACTGATGAGTCATTTTTTACACAGCTGGATGACCTTGAGAGCATCTAATGTCAGATTTCCCGGGGCATTCTCATAGAAGTCTCGGGAAGACAAAAATTTAAAGTAGGGTGAATACCAGCTGGCCGTATATTTTTAAATATTTTTAAAAAATTAAAATTTTTATTGCGATTACCGACCCTTCCGATTTAATTAAACTTATATATGATAAAATATATAAAAACAAAGTTAAACTATTGTTGAAATTAAGAAACAAGTATTTTCTTGAAAAAATGGTAACGGAAAAGAAGGCATTAATCAACAATGTAGCATTGTTTGTTTCATGTTTTGTAAATTTCTTCTTTATCGCGTATCAGTACTTAACTATAGTCATTTCTTATCCAGCTCTCGTAAGCAAACAGAAATTTGAAGGTGAAACTCTATTATGTACCGTGGAAATTAATCTATCCTTGTGTTATCTTGCTGGTGGAATCTTTTATGGCTTACTTCTTGGTGCATTGTGTTTTTTCGTTGCAGCTAAAGAATACGAAGAACTTTTAAATGAAATGTACGCAATTAGAAAAGACGAAATAAATTTAGAACTGAAACTGAAAAATTTCATGATGCAACACGAAGATCTTTGGGTTTTCATAGAACAGTTTAACACAAAACACAATTATTTATTTGTGATTATTTACTTTGGTATCCTTTGTGCAACGAGTTTTGTATATTATGCTTTTCTTTTCTTAGAAATATTCAAAAATATTAGATATTTGTTATTCGTATTATTAATCATCTGCACATTCATTTGTGTAATCTGTGGTTGTCTCTTATGCTCTCTTGCATTTACGGTAAAAAAAACTTTTATTATTTAATATAATTGTTACAATATTTTGTCTCATTTGAATATACTTGTATAATTTGTAGATGCAAAATGCCTTCCAAGACATTCGGCAACTTGTCTCACCACACGGGTTCTGTTAAATTAAGCCATCCAGTGACAAAGTGAGCAGACCCTTCAGATCTGACGATTAGAGGGCCTTGACCCTCATCCCTATTCTCACAATAATGTGTTAGATATTCATATAAATGTGAGATCAGCCGGGGGTACTAATCCGAGGAGGATTGTTCGTACCGCTTATTCGACACCCAGTTGGTAAAACTAGTTCTCCAGGTTTCAGATCGAGAGATCCGATCCTAAATGTTCCTATAGGAGGGCTTTTAATAATGATCCAAATCGTGAGATTCGGATCTACGTCAGGATTCCTTGACACCAGTTAATCGATCTTATGACACGCGGATTAACACGCGTTTACGATCTGATTCGGACACCCAATTAAGAGACATTTTTATATAATAAACATAAGTATAATTTAATAAGTCTCAAACAAACGAATACAAATAACCAAATACAACGATTATACGACAAGCTAGAGACTACGGCTTAATCTAAGCTAATGCGCGTTCGAGAGAGAGAGCTCACAAATGATTCTAAACATACGACCTGTTAGTTGTCGTCTTCGTTTCTGTAGATATAGGACACCTTGTAAATAGAGTTCATATTACTTTNATAGTATGTCACAGGTATTGCTGTACAAAAATGAATGCTTTTGCCATCAGGCATAATTAATCTATTTCCTTTATGGTCTATTTTGATATTTTCTCTCTCTAGTATATCCCTTCCTATGGTTCCGTCACATGGATATGTATCTCTCACTATTCTACATGTAGCGCTAAATTTATTTCCTCTTAGCTTAAACTCAGGGGTTGCATTTCCTATACCTACGACTGTTTCTCGGGGTGAATTATCTATCATTACCGGCAGTTTATTGTAAAAAGGCTTTATTAGCTTTATTCTATCTATAACGCGCTTAGATATTAATGAAGTGTCTGCTTCTTCATCGACTCTAAATTTAGTGGGTAAGTTATTTACATAAACCATTACTATCGGTCTATCATCTGTCCTAACATTAGACAATGTACCTTCCCACATATCTGTTTCTCTATAACTGCGCGGTTGCGAACGGAAATGCTTATCTCTATTTCGATCTCGCTTTTTCATGTCCGCGTCTTTACGGAAGTGCGCTTCTCTTTCAGATTGATTATATCTATCCTTTCCTTTTAAAATTTTTAACTGTTCCACTAAGTTATCTATTTGCCTTTGAATTTCTTGTATTTCATTAATTTCTGCCTTCTCTTCATTAGCGTCTCTAAGGACTCTGATATAGTTACTTCTCCCTGCAGTAAGGGACTCTATTTCTTCTTCCTTTATGGCAATCTCTAGCGCTTGATCAAAAGATTCTGGCTCTCTAGACATAACCCTCTGACGAATTTTGAGATCTATTCCGTTCATAAACTGAACCCTTAACCTTTCGTCCAGTTCTCTAGCTTTGATCTTTTTAATTATTTCAATTTCGGCTTCGTTCACGCCTTCGTGTTCAATCTAAACCTCCTCTGCTAAAGCCTGGAGTCGTACGGCGTATGTCTGTACGTCCTCATCTCTGGACTGGACGCACGCGTAGAATTTCTGGATTCGATATGTGTATGGGACCTTCTCAAAACGCTCTATCATTATTTTCTTAAATTCCTCATAATCCTCTACGTCTTTTACTCGCCGATCCTTACGTACGAATTCCCGAGCAATGCCAGTCAATTTTAATTTAGTTACAGCTAGCGTTTGTGCCTTCGACCATGCTGCTACTCTAGTCACATCCGCTAACGTATCGAAAAATTCTGATACTTTTGGACCTTTTGCGTCCCCTGAGAAGACCGGTAAAAGGGGAATCATTCCACCCAATCCGCCTAATGCTATTGGATTGCCAGCTAACGTAGCTCGCGGAGGTCCTTCTCTATCTCTATCCATTTTAACTTATAGGTAACTTAAAAATTATTTTTATTTGGACTTATCAACTAGTTGTCTCTCAATCCGAATCAGAACCACTCCTGCGACACCAGATGTGAGATTTTCTATGGATTTTTAATTTTAGTTTAAGACACCACTTGTGAGATTTTATTAGGGGGTTTTTTGTAATTTCGAACCACACTCTTGCTACACAGTTGTGAGATTGTATTACGGATGTTTTAGTTCGAAAAACCCCACTCCTGCTACACCACAATGTGAGATCAGCCGGGGGTACTAATCCGAGGAGGATTGTTCGTACCACTTATTCGACACCCAGTTGGTAAAACTAGTTCTCCAGGTTTCAGATCGAGAGATCCGATCCTAAATGTTCCTATAGGAGGGCTTTTAATAATGATCNTCCTTTGTGCAACGAGTTTTGTATATTATGCTTTTCTTTTCTTAGAAATATTCAAAAATATTAGATATTTGTTATTCGTATTATTAATCATCTGCACATTCATTTGTGTAATCTGTGGTTGTCTCTTATGCTCTCTTGCATTTACGGTAAAAAAAACTTTTATTATTTAATATAATTGTTACAATATTTTGTCTCATTTGAATATACTTGTATAATTTGTAGATGCAAAATGCCTTCCAAGACATTCGGCAACTTGTCTCACCACACGGGTTCTGTTAAATTAAGCCATCCAGTGACAAAGTGAGCAGACCCTTCAGATCTGACGATTAGAGGGCCTTGACCCTCATCCCTATTCTCACAATAATGTGTTAGATATTCATATAAATGTGAGATCAGCCGGGGGTACTAATCCGAGGAGGATTGTTCGTACCGCTTATTCGACACCCAGTTGGTAAAACTAGTTCTCCAGGTTTCAGATCGAGAGATCCGATCCTAAATGTTCCTATAGGAGGGCTTTTAATAATGATCCAAATCGTGAGATTCGGATCTACGTCAGGATTCCTTGACACCAGTTAATCGATCTTATGACACGCGGATTAACACGCGTTTACGATCTGATTCGGACACCCAATTAAGAGACATTTTTATATAATAAACATAAGTATAATTTAATAAGTCTCAAACAAACGAATACAAATAACCAAATACAACGATTATACGACAAGCTAGAGACTACGGCTTAATCTAAGCTAATGCGCGTTCGAGAGAGAGAGCTCACAAATGATTCTAAACATACGACCTGTTAGTTGTCGTCTTCGTTTCTGTAGATATAGGACACCTTGTAGATAGAGTTCATATTACTTTCGTATGGGAGATCAATTCGTGCACAAAATATAAAAATATCACTTCTTCTAAGTGTAGACTCGGGACTTAGTCTATCGGACTCCGTTATGGGCGTTGGCCATCAGGAGGAAAACTGCGTGGAGTTTGGATGCTTCGGATCTGTCGAAGAACTCCCCGAATTCTGACTAATCTCCCCTTTTATTTCAAAATTTCGTCCAATCATCGTCCAGTAACTCTTTCGTGAGAACGGACGAAAGGGGGATGAATGAGGGGTAACCATTTCCCATCTGAGCGAGATTTTTAACCAGATACGGAAAAACAGAGGATGTTCTCTTCGATGAAAGGAAATAACATTTGTTATCTGGTTTTTCCCACGTCTAAAACAATATTTTTTTCACAAAAACGAAGTAATATTTCGTGTCTATATTTAAACATATTTAATAAAAATTCACAAATTAGACCCAGGGCCTTTCGGATCTCACATTACTCCCTTATCTTCAAAAATCACACTACATTTAAAGAAGGCGTGATTTTTCACTGCAATACACAAGTTTGAATTGCTCTCTCTCTTTCTCAAAATTGCGTTATACATATTAATGAATTCATAAAAGTATACAATAATTCAAATTAAATTCAAAATTGAAATACATGGAAATAATATAATAAACAATTCATTTGATTAATATTATTACTAAAATAAACATAATGAACACAAGTGTCTTCGTCTGGAATTGATGGTAAAAGTGGACATAGTTCTGTCACTGGTTTCGAATGCACCTCTCTGTTGTTGAGAGTCTCTATGGCAGCACCTCTATTGGCTGACTTCTTATAGTTGCAATAATTCAGGTATATTAAAAGATCAGGTGATGTCTTCTTGTTTCAAAAAGCACCTGCTAAAAGTTCAAAGTTCACTGTGCAGTTCAAAATGATATAATGTGTCTTCTTCCTGTATGTTGACACACTTCTTTTCTGCTAAAATTTCATTTAACATAACCACAAAAGTTCAGGTGGTTGAGTTCATTAAAGGTTGTATGACTCTAGGGTCATTGAAATCCAAATTTGAGGCAAAGTTCCTTTTCACCAAAGTATTGTTCCTTTTAAAGGTAGTATGTTTAACAAATATATATCTCTATTAATGTCTCTCTCTCTCTTAATACTACTCTAAGTCTTATATCTAGACTATTCTATATAATATTATGTCTATTCTAATCAATCACTTTAAGTTATCAATTTGAGTGGGGTGTACATTCCTTTAAATAAGCTTTTTGTTATTATTAGGAAAGGTACTTACAACTAATGATATATGTAACTAAAATCGATCATTATATAATCAAAAATTTTCAATCAAGAATGAAATGATCATCTCAAAAAGCAAATGTGAATTAAAGTCGATATGTTCGAACAAAATGCTTCTTTGTCTGTGTTGAGCTTGAAGCTTGTTCAGTTGATCTTCCAACAGGTTCGACTANAAATGAAAGAATATTTTGTCGAAAATTTAAACATATTAATAAAATTATTAACTTAGACCCAGAGCCTTTCGGATCTCACATAAACTTTGATATAGAAGCATTGAAAAAATACTGTTTATACAAATCTGTATTTCATGTTTATATTTTTATCAATAAAGAGTAAAGCTCGTTTATATTTTTGATAACTGAAGTCTATATTACGTAAATCACTACTTCGAGTATGTACTTGATAAGAGTATCAGAATTACATCGATAATAATGACCTTCCAAATCCATCGTAGATACAAATAGATTAAATTAAATAATGTTTTATTACATCAAACAGATAATTAAAAACATAAATTATTATTCTATTGATAAAATGTAACTAAACAACTGACTGTGTAAAATGCAAACATCATTTTCTGAATAGGAAACAATTAATATGGTTGTTAATTTCATTAACAATCGATTGTTTCTGTGTAGTAATGCGTGCAAAGGAAACTGAGCTTTAATTCCATGTTGTTATATGAGTAGTGCTGCCACACAGATGGGAGTTGATTAGTTTATCGTGTTATAGCCAATATAAAATAAAGAGAATGGATGATTAATCGTTATTTTATAAAAACTGAAAATACAGACAAGTATGTTAATGAAATAAAAATTATTTGCTAGTTTATTTGGTTACAGCAACGGAACATCGAAGGGGACACCTTCCGGGAGGTCATTTTTGGGAATTGGCCCCTATTTTGCTGTTACAAACGTAAATAAAACTTCACTTGACAGAAACCTACGACCAACTAACTAGCCAGTGTTCAGTAGTATTATTCACTCAGTCACTAGTATATTATCTTTATCATTTTATTCACGATTGACTATAATTAATTATCTAAATAAGTAGCTTCGTCATGCCTTTGTTATAATTTTCCATTACGAAACCTACAAGTGCATATCAAAGAAAATATGTATGATACAAACAGAAATATATAATAGAAAATTTACAAATATATAATCATATATATTATTACTACATATTTTAAATAATTTATACTTTATTTTCAGTTGTATTTGCATACTTTTGATAATAACAAAAGTAAATTACATTTCAAATAATTTCAATAATCCAATTCATAATATTTCAGGTGTACACTAACATATACAGGTTTTACTTATTAAATACATTAAACATTTGATTAATATTATAAATTACTTCGTACAGGCAACAAACAAGAACACCATCAGGAGAAAATCGTGTACCTGAATTTTGCAACTTGTTTTCAGTATTTTTTCCTTTTTTTTTAACAGTTTAAACTTATACAACAATTGAAATTGTTGTGGACTTTATTCTTATATAAACTGTTATATTTTATTATCCGATATAAAGTTCAAATATTTGTGATAATACTCGATAAGATTTTGCTTAAAATAACTTGTTCCCCATTGGCGTAGTAAGTAAATAGTTATACACTTTTAACAGAGAATGTCGTTGGTGTTTGGTATAATATTTACATTTATTTTGTTCTTGATTCTGTTGAAAACGTCAGAAAGGTGCAGTAAAATATGGTTTGCAAATTTTTACGAAATCGTTCTGTATTATATTATAGAGTTTTTTATCGGAAATCTAAGAAAACGTTGCTTACAAAATATAAAATTAGAAATTTCTAACGACCCAACACGTTCTCGTGAAGGTCGACTAAGAATTTTAGAAATAGGACCGGCGGGTGGAAGAAACTTTGCATTTTATCCCGATAACAGTTTGTTAACATTTGTGGATCCAAATGAATCTTTTCGAACGTTTTTCAATCGAAAGAAAGGTCAATTCGGAAGTCTTCATTTGGAGAATTTCTACTGTACTGGAGCAGAAGATATGAATGAAATAAAAGACGAAAGTGTGGATATTGTAGTAAGTACACTTGTACTTTGCTCGGTGCAAGACATGGAAAAGTCCTTAAAAGAGATCAAAAGAGTTTTGGTGAAAGTAAGTTTATTTTTTCTTAATTTCATAAATTACAAGTGTAAGATTTTAAACTACAATTTGTTTTTATTGTTTTTTTAGAGCGGGAAATACTATTATTTAGAACACGATAGAGACCCCAATCATTTGATTCGGTTCTCTCAAAAATTGATCGAACCTTGCTGGAGTCTTCTAAATCACAAATGTCATCTTACTCGACGTATCGGAAATTCCATCAAAAAAGCAGGTTTCAGTCAAGTGGTACAAAACAATTCTAGACCGTATTTCTTTATGTTTGTACCTCAGTATTTTATATACGGTATTGCTGTCAAATAGCACAACTAATGCATCACATTTTGAGATTATTCCTTACTAAGAAAAAATTGTCACGTATTAATAATATATGTTGATACAATAATTAAGATTTAAAAAAATGTTTTAATTTCTGTGATTATAGTTTTGTTTTCTATTGTGTTTTAAAACTCAATAGACTAAAGCCCGGTGCCGCGCAGTGAGTAATAGTAACATCGGGAAAAATACGCATTGAAAAATTGAGTTACAGTAGTAGGGGAGATCGGGGCAAGATCGGCATGTTGAGCTTTACTTAAATTTTGTGTAATAAATACTGCTGTAAACTGAAAAAAAAGCTTTGCATATTGTCTACTGGAATGTTACCTTACTATAGAACTGGTTAAAATTAGTTTGGAAATAAAAATAATTAAAATAATTACAACTTTACAAGAAGAGAGAAATTGACGAAGTTGCCCCGGGTATAGGGGCAAGATCGGCAACTTCTCTCTTTTTGTAAAGTTGTAATTATTTTAATTATTTTTATTAAAGTTGCCCCTGGTATAGGGGCAACAGTAATGGGGCAAGATAGGCACGTATATAAAATTATGTTATTAACAATGTATAAGTTGGAATTCACTATTAAAACAAAGAAATACAAATCCAACACCCATTTAATATTATTACAACGAAATGCAAGTTCAAAGACATATATACATGAATAACAAATGCAAACATGTTTTCATTTATCATCTGTTTGATTTTTATCCTTTGCTTCTAATGTGGCTTTATGTTGCCGATCTTACCCCGCTAGTCATGATTTCGAAACATTAAGTACAACCCTGAGAACAGAATGCCAAGCCACGATCTGGCCACGTGAATAAGTTGAAGTTACATCCTTCTAACAGGAAAAGTAACTTTCGTTATCATGGAATTATAACAAAACCTGCCAATTCAATATAAATGGAAAAAAAATATTATATGGAATTGAACGAAAATGAAAATTTGCTTGATAATTCAACTACGCTTGTTGGAGAACAATAAAAACACTACACTCAACAAGCCACCAATAAAACTCAACTGCCTAACCTATAACCAAAGTCTCCTTTTAATTTGTTTTTAAAAAAAAGCGCTTGACAAACTTGCCCCGCATGCCGAAGTTGCCCCGGTCTCCTTTATATAAAGTAATAAAACGAAAAAACATTTTATAGTGTCTAAAGACAATTTGCTCTATTCTACCCTTCGCCTACCTCAGCATGCCAGTGACTTAGAGTCCAAAACCACAGAACGTCCCTTCCTGCCTCATTAACTCATAACGAAAAGTTTTTCAAGTTTATCCACATATGTAATAAATAACAGCTAATTTTTCGTAGAAAATTTTATCGGGTGAAATTTCCACTTGGAAATTAGCCCATGTGTTTTCCCCTTATTTTTTCAATCCAATCCAACTGAAATAAACATTGAAAGCTCAATTATACTGTCAGATTATGCTAAATTTCAATAGTGGTAAAGATACAAATTCATGTTATAGTTATCTCAAAAATTTTGATTGTATCTTACTCTATTACATACTATAGCCCTCAAAATGCAATCGCATTGTCAGAAATGTATTATATATATCCCGTTCCAGTAACCGAGATACTCTATATATCCTGTATCCAAAGTAAAATCTTCACCAAGGTATTCAACGATATTATTAGAGCATTAACATTCAACTTGTTAATGCTCAAATAATGTTGTCTATGCAGTTCAATCTGCGCTCTATATTGCGAATGACAAGATAACGTTGTTATTTGTGGTATTTTCAATTAATATATCATCACACTTTTGAGATCTGTGTGAGACATTTCTTAATTCTAGTAATCCAGAGAATACAGAACGTAATAACTTCACCATCAGAAAAAGACAATGGCATTGTTATTAAAGCATTCAAAAATACTTTTTCTGATTCTAACGATATTGTAGCTAACAGTTAGTGAAAGAAATACTTACTCTGATTGGAAATCTCTTATTAACGTAAAATAATCCCTCAATAGAAAGTCTCAATGCCACTTTCCCGTATCTTTTTATGAAATTTACAATCTAAATGAAGACATATTAAATATATTATTGTTTTTTAATAGTTTAGCACAGTGTGATCATAACGAGTAGGTTCTCAGAAAGCTCTATTCAAATAACTGTTGACAAAATTTTAACCAAACTTGAACACATACTTTATCCGTTACGCGGTTTTGATTTTCGATTAAAAATTTTCATTACAATTCTGCTACTGGATTGTAAATTTCGCACTTGCGGTTGAGTTAAGAAGTGAAATTTCATTGACAAAATTTGAAACTACATACTCAAAACAATAAAGTTTGAAACTTTTTTGAGATTTGTCCAACAGTTTTTTTCTATTGTGTGATCTGAAAACCTGGTTTTTCTGATCATCCTGATCTTTTGTTAGTTATCAATGGACATACTTTTAACTTCGATTCCACCGACATATTGCAAGCCGCAAATTGACAAAGATCTTGAAATGTGTTCTCCATCTGAAAACAGAATAAAAGAACAAATGCAACATTGAATATCAAAGTTTTGAAAAAATTTATTTTAACATTTTTCTTACCGTAAATGCCAAACAGCTTACAAGAAAAGAACCAATGAAACATACGAATGTTAAAATAATAACCAATCCAAAAATAATGTATTTCAATGCTTTATTTAATTTTATAAACAGATATAAGTAATAGCTGAAGCTAGTTCCCCATACTACACTACCGTAGATAATAATAATTAGGAAATTCATTTTACTGTTGAATTGCGAAACAAATTTCCATAATTCTTCGTGATGATTCATGAAATCTTTTAGTTTCCATTCGTTTTTTCGTAATGACACCAATTCGTTTGACAGTTGTTGAAATTCGGCTACGAACACTAATATAAGTAGTCCAATTAATAATAGAACAAAAGCAATTCCTCCAATGGTATAACTTGTCCATAAAGTAAACTTTATGCTACAGAATAATGCTTCGTATTCAAAGTGCCTTGTTTTATGCCATAGTGGATATGAAACAAAAATATTTAGTAATGCCAAGCAAAAGATTAACATTACGACAATGAATGACACTATTATAGAAACATAATTGATTGCATTGTATGCTCTCTGACTTTGAAAAATATTATGCTTCAATGAAATTTGTAGAGAAAGTTTGTTATTTTTTATGAAAGTGAATGTCGAAGCACTAACAAGTGCTAAAATTATACCAACAATATTCATCACAGTGAATGATGTTCTGGCCATTGAATAAGAACCAGCGCAAAGTCCGATTAAAATATTTTGGCACATTACAATAAAAAACTGTGCCCAAGCAGAAAACTCAACAATGCTAAAATACCATTTCTTTGCTAACTTTTGAACAGTTGAAAGTGATCTTTCGACCTGACAATTGCATGGAATTTGAAGTTCCAATCCAAAGATCAATGCCAAATTTAGAATTGGTTTTAGGAAACAATTTAAACAAATCTCTCTTCGTAAATCTGAAGCCATTTTGGACATTTAGTTAATTAACCCTTAGTAGTTACATAACAAATCCTCAATATGTCTTTCACTAACATAAGTTAATTAAGTGATCGATTTTTAATGACAAACTCAATTTTCACTTTTTCAATGACCTATGAATCTTATTAATATATGCAACAATTTATAATTAATAATATAACCAAAGTCACATAATATTTTTACTTTAATCACAAGGAAATAGGTCAGTCCTGTTTCTACCACTTCGATCTTCTGTAGCATTATGTCTCATATAGAATTGAAAAAATTCCATATTACTCCAATATTTCTATGACAATGTAAACTTGCCTTAAAATTCTACATATATTAATTTAGCTACAAATTTCACGATATTTATTGGAAATTCTTATAATAGCTTGTATTAAACGTCATGTTTAATATCTGCCAGAAGATATCATCTTCATGTTTACGTAAGTTTCTTAAAATCGAAGTTAATGTTAATGGATTTCGTGCTGCATTTTACTATCATACACTTAACATGTTTGTTACGGTCATTTATGTAATGAATTAAATGCTAATGATTGCGTGTGTGTTCATTTAATAATTATAGATATTATAATTTAAAATCATAGTTACTAAAAGATGATATTGCTGAAGAGTATTGTTCCGATATTCACAATCGATTAGCTCTAAACACTGCTGGTAACACCTAAATACGTGCATCATAAAAGACCTCCCTGGAGATCCTAGTGGTCTTTTTTAATTTTAATGAAAATAATTTCTTAGTATTCACATTTAAGACGTGGCATTAATTTGATATTCATAAAGCTGTATTTTCTGAATACGCAAACTACTTTGAGCAATATAACTGGGTAACTTATGTTTGGAGATTAGTAGACATATACTAAATTTTGATGCAGAATAATTTATACATCCCATTTACTAATAACTTCTGTAGGAAAGAATGTCTCTAATGTGTTTAACTATCTAACAAATTGAGTAGATTTCAATTTGTAAACACATTACTCGAAAATGGATAGCCTTAATATTTAAAGTATGCATGTGAAATATGTAAGTGCTTCGTGTTTACTTCAATAATGGAAGTATAAGTGTATAAGAGATTTATGAAAATCTAAGAGGCGTTTAGAAAAGGAAATGAATTTCAGAAATTTTTGAGCCTATTCAGTTTCTAAAACTGAAAATTTAGAAACTGAATTTTAGTTCCATGAAATATAAA